TCTCTCCTCTCTCTCTCTCCTCTCTCTCTCTCCTCTCTCGTTTTCTCTTCCTGTTTTTCCTCTAGCTCCATTTGCATCAATATCTTCTCTTCTTTCATCACTTTCACCTGAACCTTTCCATCCTTTCTCTCTTCTATTTTTTCTTTTATCAGCTTCTCTTGTTTACCTGCAGACACTCTTTTCTGTCCTCTTACTTCTCAAAGTATTGTCCACTTACAATCTGTCTTAAAACACCATAAATCTGTCTCTGTAAATTTAAATATTGCGTGAATGTCTTAACGGTAGTTCAATGGTGCTGCATACTTACAAACTAACTATTAAGAAAGAAATTGTGCAGCTTCCAGGACAGTGGGATGATGTGCGGGTAACTGTGGAAAGAGATGGCCCTGTGGATCAAAATGGTCCATGTGCAAACTCTCATCCTGAAGATGATAACAAGCATGTGACCTTATCTTCAAGTAAGTTTCCTATGTTAATTAGATAGCTGATGAGGTAGATACCTCCTAATAATTAAATGTAGTAAATTAAAGTTGTTGTCTGGTATCAAAAATTTTATTTTGCTAATGATCGTTTCAATCGTGTAGCTATCGTCCTCGGAGCTTGCAGCTTGAGGATTGCTACGCAATCGAAACAATCATTAGCAAAATAAAATTGTTCATACCAGACACCTTTTATTTACCATATTTAATTTCCTCTGTTAATTGAAGTAGTCTTATCAAGATCATACATTTTGTTCCTAAATTACCTGAAGATGATGACAATGGTGATGATGATGATGATGATGATGATGATGATGATAAACATTCTTTCTAGGCGCAAGAAGTGCTACTGTGTATCCACCAGTTTGTCTGGAGGCTGGCAGATCATATAAAGTACGCCTTGAATTTAAACGTTATAATAATGAAGTGGATTCACCATCTGCATCAATTCTAGTAGATTCGGTAGGTATTTTCTCCCATGTCAATGCATTCTAGGTTATGGAGATTATCAAGTTTGTTTTTCCTATTATTTATGTCATTTTCTGCACTATCTTCCTCATATACAATGTTATATGAATGTCAAATTCTATTTCTTAGATAAGTTATTTCAAACAATTATGCACATCCAAGTTACTTTAAACAGAATGGCCTCATGTCATCCTCAATATCACAAATGGATGCAGAAGTGACTGCTTGATGCTAGAGTTACGAGTTCAAATCCCACATAAAGATTGAATGTTTTTACCTTGTGATTGGGTGTAGTAGCCACAAGTAAACCACCTTGTATCAAACATAATAATCTAAATGATCATTCACATGTACATAATTGTCTCATTTACTGATATAAACAGAATATTACTAATATAAATTTTTCAGTTTTTAATATCCTTGTTTAACTTGTTAATGCTCATGAGCAGATTTATTGTTGGGAAAATTGCGCTACGCTTTATAAGGATAACTGCTTACTAAGTGGCTACTTATTTTATTATCAACAAATTACTCAAGTGCCCATTTTGAATTATGCAAAACATTTTCCTAAGCTTCTAAAAATTTTACTTGTCAATTGTGAAAACTCAAATTCACATTAATATTTTACTTTCATACAAAATTAGTTTATGGTGCATTATTTAATGTATTTTAAATATATAAAGAAAATTCTAAGCTAAGGAAAGCTGCTAGAGGGAAACACGCATTGTCAGAATAATACTTCTGTCTACTTGACAACTAGTGGCTGATGGGAGAGAAGGTTCTGTTATCCATTCAGAGGCTTTAAATTCTGATGTAACTTCAAGTTGCTGATGCTTATTAAGAAAAAATGAAATCTAACAGCGCGAAGTAACTGAAAATTGAAGAGTGCCGTTATTTCTTTGGTTATGCATCGTGTGTGTGGTTCTGGATCGTCTACTGTTGTGAGCTCTTCTTGTGATTTGTTTTGTGCTACTGCTGCTAATGCTGTTGTGCTCTGATGCGAGAATAATCTCATGACCATGTGTCTGCCACCTGAGTAAGTGGCAACATCATCCTACCTCAACCCAGCTGTCGAGTAGGCAGAAATATTGTTTGGTCTATAGGCTAGATAAACAAGGTTGACATGATATTCGGTGCTGTTCATACTCTGTGAGCCTTCTGTTTATAGTTTCTGGCAATTCTGATTACAAATACATTTTGTAGTGACTGGAATTAAACCCATATTACATTAATTTATATTTTTTGAAGCTTATAGTTTTATTTGATGATTCAGATTGCATTGATTCCAAGAATTGAGAGTATACCTTTCTTTGAAGATGGCTCTCCTGCTAATGAACTGAGACGACAAGAATTTGAACGATACCATTGTGGACAGTATTTCCAATCAGTTTCAAAAGGACATGTTCCAGAAATTTGCAACAAGTACCACTACAATATTGGTTTTTATGTGTATGGTGGTGCATTCTGTGAGTATTAATTACAGATTTTAAACTTATACTTTTAATAAAATGTTAGGAAGAAAAGAAAGATCTTTAATAATAATTATTTTATTATGTTGTTCAATGACGGAGACGGAGTAGATGACTATTCTATTTCTAAATTTATAAATATTCCCTTATTAAGACTAATATACTTTTACTATAGTAAATTTATGGATATTAATAGGTCCAATTTTAAAATTACAATAATTGAAATGATTACCTAAAGTTCCTTGGGAATAATTTTGAAATCAGATACCTACTTGTAATCATTATATTTAGAATTACTCTTAGAAAATTTATGTACAATTTCATACATTTAAGTGAGTTTCTTGAGATAAAAGAATATTGATAAATAAAAAAATAAAATATGAGAACTACGGATGAGAAAATTGCGAAAGCTAAGGCTGGTTAATCTGGCTACCAGGAATTACCATGATGAAACTGTTAGTGTATGTCATGCCTTGATGTAGGTTTCCATTTGATGTTCATTTATTTTTCAGCATGCGAGTGTGATCCTACTGGCTCTCTGAGCTCCCTCTGTGCCCCTCTTGGTGGCTTATGCCAATGCAAACCTAATGTTGTGGGGCGTAAGTGTGATCGATGTGCTCCTGGCACTTATGGTTTTGGACCTGAAGGATGTAAAGGTAAGTTGTGAAGAAAATATCATGAATGGATCATTGAAATTTGATCTGAATCATATTTGTTTGGAATTTCTAAATTTCTAAATGTTAACAAGTAACAAATATGAAATGCAATGTTATTTTATTGATAATGATTGTTGTCATCTGGATCAATGAACCAGCTTAGATGGTTCTGAGCATCAATTGATGTCACTGCTGTGCTTGTGACTGGGAGGTCCTAGAGTTTAAGTCCAGACAGTGGAATGATTTTCGACACTAGATATATAGCTAGCTCAAATTCAGTAGTTGTCTGGAGAAGAATTCTAGACGCCAGCTGCTCTCATCAGTTCTTTTCTGTGGTTACTCTGATAATTGCCAGGCGAATGTCAGAGCGGTACCCTAACAAATGGGCCATTGACCATTCGTGATCTTTCCTTCCTCTTCCTTGTGCTATCCTCACCCCTTATTTACACACATGCTTACACCCACCACACTACCACATGTTGGCAGACCAATTGGGAGCTTAGAGCTTATCCTGACTGGGGCAGTGTCCCACTGGTGGAAAATATACCTACATATTTTCTTGAGCCTTGGAATAACTATCCCGACTCATTTACTATCATTAATTGAATTAAGAAGAAATGTTCTTAATGAGTGTTTTTGACAAAATCTAATTATCAGAAATGTTCGCTCCCTTTGAGAACTACGAACCAGCTACAGGTATAATACAACAGTCCTGTCTTGGAAATAACCAATCCCCATCACTCCTCTCACATGTAGCAAAATGGGGACTTAAGAAAACATGTGGATAATACCTGGATGGGGTAAACCCTGTAAGCAGACATTTTGGTTGGCACTGAAACATACCATCAAACAGGGAAAGAACACTGCCAACTTCCTGTTATAGAAAACATGTACTTCACTTACAGGAATAATGACCGTAACAGTTGACATGCCCAAAAACATGAAATAATCAATCAATAGGTCAATGATAGCCCATAAAATTCACAAGTTATTGGTCAAGTTTTGAACAAGTTATTGGTCAAAATCATTTAAAAAATTCAAAACTTGTAATTAAACCATTAGAACAGTTGTTCAACAAATGCAAAAAGACAGGGATATTTTCTAACTACATGAAAAAAGTGTCAATGTATTTGAAAAATTATAAATACCTTGAAGGGACAGTTTTATTGTCAAACACAAATTAATAAACCCAAATCAATTTGGGTTTCAAAGTAAGGAGTGCACAGAAGATGTCTAGAAACTAGTAATGGAGCAAATGCTATTGGTAATCATTTACCTAGTTAAACAGTACTTTTTAATTTGACTAAGACCTTTCTGGTTTTAGAGATACAGCTCTATAATTGAAAAACACAACAATAAATATACCATAAAAAGTTATCCTACCAGCAGGAGACAAGAAGTCAGAATACACAATGTCACACAAGGTACCATTTTGGTATTTTATTGGGGATTAATTTGGCCCATTTGGGGATTTCTTTTATACATAAATTACCTTTTTGATATTTTACTAAAGAAAAAAAAATCATTTGTGTACATGTTTATTCATAAAAGGAACAACATTGAATCTTTAGCTCAAGAAACAATTAGCAAAATAGCAAATTGATTAAATGTGAACTCCTTAACCCTCAATATCTGAAAACTGTCTTTATCTTATATGGCTGTAATCAAAATAGTTACCCAATTATTTTTGAGTTGAAAATGCTCAATAATATTTACATAGTTCAAGATAATGTTCATTGTGCCTGTTTCAGTTTAAACAGTCTACTTTTATAAATATCTTGGGGTATATATGGATAGCAATCTAAAGTGGTCCAAGCACATAAACTCATTAACAAATAAATTGTGACATTGATTTTTTTTTTACCAGAAAACGTCTGTTGTGAACCAAAAACTAAAATTATTTATTTACGATATCCTATTTTGGCCATGTGCCACTTCAAAAAGTTATTATGTAGGATGATGCATATGATGTAACAATCAAACCAATTCTAGATAAGCAAAAGAAAATTTTGAAATTAATTTTTGATAAACCTTGCACCTACTCATCTAAATTAATTTTCAAAGATCTCATAATCTTATAAGGAAATTCTAAAACAAGATAATGACAGATTGTGTTTATGTGATTGAAGAAGTAAAATACTAGTCTCACCCATAGTTAATAAGGAAATTACTAGATAGTGTCAGATACAGAAATTTTCATTGCATGATAACAAATATGAAAAGTTTGGATTTAATAAAAATTGTGAAATACTGTGAAACTGTGAACTGTGAAATAAAAATTATAGTTTAAGAAAAAGATGAGGAAAAGGCTAATTGATATGACAGCAAATTTTGTTGATTCCTTAATCAAACCTATTTCATAACTTCCCTTATGTTTTTCATAATGCCTGTCCAAAAAAGGTGGCCGAGTGAACTTGTATTATTTCTTAAAAAAAAAAACAATTTTTGTGTACATATCATTTTATTAGTTGATGTATATGTCATTTTGTTAGTTTTGCAGCCTCAGGATTAATTCCTCATGTAATTTACTGCCATTATTTTGTAATGGTATAAATTTGTACTGGTCTGTAATAAATACTTTTTTAATGCTGTATCTTGCAAATCAGATTTGGTTAGTTCTAACAAAATCAGAATCAGAAATTAAACTAGAAATACAATCATATAATTAAGCCTCCTGCATTGTCAAGGACTGGAGAAGTCAGTTACAAATTGAATCAAAGTTGTATGATTTATAATATAATATAAATATCAAAATTGGCAGGTTTTTTACAAGAACCAAACAAGTCCAAAATTCCATATTTTGAGATATTTCATCAAGTTATTCCCTACAATTGGTGTTATCTGCTGGGACATTTCATTTCGGCAAATGCCAAAAATATTCAAAGATATAAGGCGTGCAAAAATCATTAATTCGTTACTATACAAGGTTATGCTTTGAAGTTTTTGGTGCCTCCTGAAATATCTTGAGTTTGGACTACTTTGGTTCTTGTAGGAAACTCTTCAATTGTTTGAGAAATATACATTAATTTTGGCTTTGCTTTGTAGCCTGTGAATGTAATTCAATTGGATCCTTGGACAACTTCTGTGACGTAAAAACAGGCCAATGTAAATGTAGGCCTAATACATATGGCATTGGCTGTGACCAATGTGAGCTTCGGTTTTGGAACTTCCCAAATTGTCAGCGTTGTGAATGCAATGGACATGCGGAACTATGTGATCCCAAGACAGGGGCTTGTCGGGATTGCCAGTCAAGCACTCAAGGTCACAACTGTGAGAGGTAAGGGATAGACAAAATGTTATTCAATAATTAAACAGACAAATGGCTGTACAGCAAAAATGTTTTATTAAATCAATACAATTTTATTGTTTACTTTTCTACGTAATCCTTACTGACTTCTCTGCACTTGTTCCATCTTATGAGTCTTCTTACCTTCTCAGCAAGGAATTCTTAACCTTGATCTCAAGGTATTTTACACTTTTTTTTTTATTTAAACTTTTTTCGTTGAACTTGATGCCAGGCAAAGCCCCTTTGATCAGATCAAACAGTTAAAAATCTGGAAGGGCAATGTCAGGGCTGTAAGGAAAATGGGATAGGAGCTCCCAAGCCACTTTGCTAATAGTTTTCAGTATGTTGTGCAATATGAGGTCGAGTATTGTCTTGAAGCACACCTTTCCTCTTCCATTGTGGACATTTCTTGTTCAATGCAAGCTTGCATTGTTCCCAATTTCACCTGAGTAGTAAACACTGCTGATGTGTGTCTTGGTCCTCCAAATAATCTCAGAAAATTGGACCATAGGCATTCCAAAATATGACTAGCAAGGGCTTACCAGTGGATAGCTGTGCTTTGAATTTCTTTGGGACAGGTGATTCTGTGTGTTTCCGCTGCACGCTTTGACACTTGAAATCTAGCTCAAAATCATGTATGCAAGTTTCATCACAGGTTAAAATTCCATCCACACATCTTCACCTTTGAAATTGAAACCATTTTTTACCTTTACGCAAATTCAAAATGTTTCAGCTTTGCGATGAACATTATGCTCTACTGCAACCTATATTGCCCAAGTCATACAATGTTCAGTTTGTTCTGAATGATGGTGTGAGTTAATTGACAATTTTCAGCAACTTGTTGAAGCATTTGTAAGTTGTTGGTCTACTCGGATATGTGAATCAATGATTGTTGAATGCCTTGATGTTGATGCGTTCGAAGATCAATGCTCATCAATATCACTTTTGCAGCCAGTTTTAGACTTTTCCTTCTATGTGCAAAATCTTGCAGTGTTTGCAACTTCTGTCGTGTTTGTTTGTTTGCTCTCCACCTCTGAAAGGAGTTTTCTATCTTGATGCGCTATAGTTTCACACACATATTCAAGTCCAGTGAAATGCATTGAGTGACTGTGATTCGCAACTTCAATGAAACCAATGCATATCAACAAAAAAAAAAACAACAACAACACAAATTCCTTTGGGATAGATTAGTTGCATCATTGCATACAAATAAATTTGAGAATTAGACCACAGCAAAAACAATTATTACACAGTATCTATATTTTCTAGTACATCTTATTGAGTTCCACAGACCTCTTCAAACTGATTTATCTTTATTTCAACCGAAAACAGCTTTAGTAGGGGAAGGCATTTTCTTGAGTGTAAGATCTTTAAATGTGTACGGTAACTTCTAAGACATAATATTTACGTATAAGTTTCCTCATAAAAATTCTTCTATGGATTCACCACCATACCAGCTATTCTCACATTTTTCATGATCTGTTTTACTATTTTGGAAAACTTAGGTGTAACCCTTTGATTAAAGGAACACTCCATTGTCACTTTTCCTTACTTGCCATATCTAAACAAAGAAAAAGCTATTTGTTTTCTTTTTTTAAGAAACATAGTTGATATAATGAACTCCAATTTTCAGGTGTATTGAAGGCTTCTATGGAGATCCTCGTATTGGAGCATCCATCCCTTGCCGACCATGCCCCTGCCCTGGCACTCGAAGTTCAGGGCATTCTTTTGCAACCCATTGTTCTCTTGACCCCATCACCAAGGATGTGGTATGCGAGTGTGATGTAGGCTATGCAGGTGAGAAGCAACTGTAGAATATTGGAAATACTAAGAAAATTTTATTTTAAAGGTCAGATATGTCAAATACAGTAATGATGTACATTAATGTAAAATTTTATTCAATTAAGTGTGCTCATGTTGTGCACTTACTAATAGATTCCAATGTAGACATATTCTCTATTGTTTGTGACCATTTAACATGTAACATAAACAGATATGACTTTTGCTGAAAGTTAATAGAAATAACATGACTCTTATCATTGCTAATGTCAAATTTTCAGATTATGTATCAGTATATATTTCCTTCAGGATCAAGGTGTGATGTATGTGCGGACAATTACTTTGGTGACCCGGAGGTGCCTGGTGGATCTTGTCGAGCTTGCAACTGCAGCAAGAACATTGATATTTCTCGTCCCGGTAATTGTGATGGAAGGTCAGGTGAATGTTTGCAATGCCTCTTCAACACAGAGGGCTTCAACTGTCATGTGTGTCGTGCTGGCTACTATGGAGATGCAATTAATCAAGAGTGTCGAGGTGAGTACTCCAGTACTTTAAAACAACTGATTTAAAGCAATTTTATCAAGGAATTCTTTGATAAAATTAGTAAGCATGTGTTTAAATGAATATTTGCTGGTACTTCATATTCTTCTTATAATTGTGATTGACGTAGCAGGATAGCCTATAAATTTTAATACAGAAATACACTTCATATTCCATATATTCACTACTCTATACTAAGTTTTACCTTACAGCAGGAATACATACATGTTTACTTGTATATGTATGACAAGTAGTAATATTTAAACTTGTTAAAAATTGGAGGTCTGGAGGGGTTTCAGAAATTAGATTTCAATAACACATCATTGAATTGTTTTGAACAAATTAATCTGTTGATGCAATTCAAATTCCACATTTAATTTCAAAAAGCACATAAAGACAAAATTTGTGTACTGTCAATTTTTTTTTAATTACTTAATTTTCATTATTTCTATATTATTTTCCCCACTTTTGTATGTCTTTTGTTTTTGTCTTCTTTGTTTTTCTACGTTCAAACTTTTTCAAGATTCTAAGATTAGCAAGTTTTCCAAGATTTAGGATTAGCATTTTCTCAGTTGTTTATTGCAAGTCTGTTTTCTTTGTAATTAAAATTTCTACTGCATTTTTCTGTAAATTACTGAAACTATATGAAAGTTGCAGTTGCTTAAAATACAGTCATCTGGGGTGAAATAAGACAGTTTCGAGTATTTATTCATTTTCTTCTTCTATCAGTGGTGCTTTTGGTTTTTGGATATGACATAACGCGGGTGAAATTAGTTAGGATTGAAATTCACCTGAATAATGAACAGTTACATCTATATCATATATATGTGCGTCCGAATTTTTTATTTTGAGGTGAAATCAGACAGTAAATTAAATTTTTTTTTTTAAAGAACTCAAAAATTTGTCAATAAACTTTAATATTTTTAATAATTTAGACAATGTGATCTTTAGGAACTCTTATCTTCATCATGTGTCTGTTCACAGAATGTCTGTTGCCATATGATTGAAGAAACTTCACTTCTATATCCTTAGCAACTGCATCTGACACAACACCAACATATTGCCTGTTCATAAGTTTCCTTCCAATAACATAATCATAACTCTCAAGCACAAATGACTCTACCATCAATACACATTCTGATTGTTCTTCTAAATAGTTGAAGCTTGTTTTTCTTTTCTTTTGAAGCAGTTATTTCATTTTCTTCACAAGCTTCACTTTCCCTCATATGTTGTTCTAATACAGATTTTCCTGGAGGAATGTTTCTTTTCCTTCGTCGAACTCTGGGACTTTTGGATATTGGATGTCGAGCATGTTTTAGAATTTCTTCAAAGCTGCTTGTCCATGATGTGTAACGTTCTTCCTTATCATCTTCACAATCTGGTAATTTACTTAAAACATGGTTTGGGTCAAATGGAAATAACCCTGTCATTTCATAGGCCTTTAATATGTTTTGAGCAGATATTTTATTTATCTGTTGTTTAAGCAGTGCAGGAAATGCTTTTATGAAAGTATGCCTCATGTGTAATTTTTCCATTTGCTTAACACATTCCACCACGCAATCTTCAGTGGCCTGAAAAGCAAACATATAGAGGTTGCTGTAAATGCGTTATGTTTGGAGGTAATAAAACAAAATTTATATTGTAGCACTTGCACTGTTCCAGTACAAACAGTGACTAGAGACTTGACAGATTGTCTCCAAGCATTATTTTTTTACCTTCTGTATTCTTCAGATAGGCTAATGCTAGTCGAAACCCAGTCTTCAAAGATTGGAAGGTCAAACCATCCACTGCTATTGCAATCGTACTGTTTTCCTGTAAGACCACCTTCTTGCCAAGTATCCCAGACACGTTCTGCTTTGTACAAAACATAAAGGGGAAAAAGAGTTCTGCCACCTGCTGCATCCATCATTATTGATACACTAGTCTTCGAAGAAACTATTATTCTTTCCAGATGTTTTGCACTTCTTTTTCACAATAACTCGAGTTTTCCCTGGATCATCACATAAGTTAGTTTCATCGTAATAATGTTACATCAAGAAATCTTCATAATTCACTTCTGCACATGCTCTCTTTATATTTTCACTGAGTCTAACAGAAATACTGCTAAGAGTGTCTTTTCAGAAAAGATCTTACCCAATCCACATCTGGCAAATTGAAAATCGTCTCTCTTTGATTCCTTTTCTCTCAAGATATCCTTTGACAATGTACCTAATATCATCAAAGGTAAACGGGAAACCCCAGTGGGCAGGTCTGGTAATGCCATGCACCAGCATTCCTTCTTCTTCCAGTGTAAGAACAAGTTGACCACCCATTGATCCCATATGTTTCATGTTAAATTTGTTCTCTATATTGGACCTTGATACTTGATAAAATTCCTTATGATATGAAAATTGTCCTACTCGAACTGCCCTGACAGCAGCTTCCAGTTTCATAAGATCATATTTCATCTTCACTCCAAGCAATTTTCTTTATACACTGTTCGAAGTCACCACACGTTGGCACACACTGATGAATTACTTCCCTGGGAGCAGATACTGATGTGAATTTAAAGTAAATTATTAAGTCCTTTCAAAATATTTTAAACAACAGTGTCACATGCTCTGATATTATTAATATACCACCATTCTTGCAGCAACGAAGTAAACTGTTCGGCTGTAATTTATCAGTCAATCTTATCAGTTACTTATTGTTGATACCACATGAGATTTAGTCCTTCTCATTCTCATGCCAAAATTATACCCCAGGATACGCTTGTTGCAACACAATTAAATATATGGGAGAAAGTTTTCATTCACTTATTATTACAACAGGTTGAATACAACGATATGAAAATATCCGAAATCACCTGTGACCTATTTCACCCTAGGTGACGGTGTATTTTTTAAAACTTACCAATTTTTTCTGTAAAATTTATGTAAAAAGAAATTAATGATGTTCATTATAAGAACAGTTGTTCTAAAAATTTTATCTGCTGTCTTGAATATGTGCAGAAAATAATGTTTCAAGAATTAATGGAAAGTTGTTTACCTGTGAATATTATAAAGAACATCTTTAATTTGCTTGAATTTGTTGCAGAGTGTGTTTGCAATTTACTGGGTACCAACAGTTCAGTAGGCTTCTGTGATCGTCAAACAGGACAGTGTCCTTGCCTTCCTAATGTCATTGGACAAAGGTGTGATGAATGTGCTGAAAATCACTGGAAAATTGCCAGTGGAACTGGTTGTGAACCTTGCGATTGTGATCCAATTGGATCAGTAGCAGATCAATGTAATTTGGTACGTCTTGCATGTTTATCATTATGTGTGAAAAGCGATATAGAGACAGTTATGAGCGTGAATCACAATCTTAGTTTTTTATGTAGAGAACTTAAAAAAATAGAGCGAGACCCTGAAAATTACTTTTTACATTTATTCAATCAATTTTTCTGATTTGTTTCCAAATTTGTTTATTTTCAAAGATTGATAAAATCTCTTCAAAGATGAATTTGAAAATGTATTCTGTAATTTTATTCAAACAGCAATTCCAACAGTACTCCAAGGCCACAATTTTAGCCTAGAAGAAATTTTTTAAAAATTCGCCAAAGCCATGTATTGTCACATTACTAAACTTCAGAATCCGTTGTGAACTCCCTATCACCCAGATGTTTATTCTATGGCTTGAAGAGGTGAAAATTTTCTCTTCAAACCATTAAATTAAATTGGGTGCCTAGTTAGGCTTTTGGTCTGGCACACAAGTTTTGTTACGGCACTCCTGGTGGGAGACTCTTCTCTGGCTTCTCTATGCAACATTAATGATTTTAATCTCTTTAGCCAGTGATAGTGAAGTTCAGTTAGCCATGATGTGGCTTCAGGGACATGATGCCAATTTCTTCATTGACAGTGTCATCAAAATGTAATTAATGTATGGTTGGGACAAGCATTTGGGCAAGAATGGTGACAATGTTGAAAAGCCATGTGTTCTAGTATTATAATATTTTATATTTGGATACATACCTGTGAAATGGAGCCAAAAGAGTCCTTGTTCCCTTATGTTTTGATCCACCCTCCCATTATTCTTTAAGAGGATCTCAAGATAATTTTATTGAAAATACTAAGATTGTTTTGTTATAATAATTTCAGTTTTACACACTTTTTTAAAAATCTTATCACAGGTGTAGGCCTGGCAATGAAGCCTGTCACTTATGACTCCATAAGTACTAAGTAGATGTGATTATTATAAGTAGCTTATTTGTCAAATCAACAAGAGGAACAATGAAAAAAATGTGTATAATGATCCTGGCTACAATTACGCAATCGTATCTTGTTTTTTCCCCCCTGGAAACAAATTATTACCATGTCTAAGTACTAATCAATAATACATAGTACATAATATTGATCGTATATAAATAATTAAAGTACTAAATTAAACCATAGTACACAAATTGGAAAAATCTATAAACGAAATTGGAAAGGCACCAAACTTATGTGTAACTTAATACTGATGTCAGTACCTTATGTACTAAGTCGGCATAAGCATTGTGCAAAAACTCTCTGATAATTTAATAAAGATTTTATAAATGTATTTAAGTTAAAGAGAAGTTCCCTAAAATATAATGTAAACTAATGTCTACTAACCCAAAGATTCTACAACTTCACATGTGAGAAATGTCAAGTGTTCAATTACATATTATTTATTTCTAAAAATTTCTTGCATTCTTGTAAATACTATAAGCCAACAAAATATTGCAGTTATTTTAAATACTAAAAAATAAAAGCGATGTTCGAAAAATATGTTTTGTTTTTTATTTAATGTTGAAATGTTGTAATTTATTTATTTTGCAGTATGATGGACAGTGTAGTTGTAGACCAGGCTTTGGAGGTCGTAAGTGTAATGAATGCCAAGCTAACTTTTGGGGAAATCCTACAATTGAATGCCATCGTAAGTGTATATTTGATATCAAGTTACTACCAGATATATTAAAAATTTATCAAACAATAATAATAATTTTATTTTTGATGTTTATTTTACTCTGACACTGCAATAATTTCTACTGTTGTTTTTTTACATTTTTTTATAGCCCTTTTTTAATCACTTGTATATATTTTCACTAACAAAATATGATGAAGGTATTTGTAGAATGTTCTAAGAATATTTTGTATTAAATTTGTAAATTAACAAGATTTCTTGAATTTTCCCCTCAGCTTGTCAATGTGATCTACAAGGTTCTGCTACTCAGCAGTGCGATCGTGCTACTGGTCACTGTATCTGTATCCAAGGAATTGGTGGTGCTAAATGTGATGAGTGTGCGAGAGGATATCTGGGAGATGCCCCATATTGTTCTGCCTGTGGGGAGTGCTTTGACAACTGGGACAGAATTCTAAATGAACTTAAAGGTAGGGGTTAATTTAATTCTTCATTGTAATAATGTGTATAGCTCTTTAATTTTTATTTTATTTTGTATACAATAAACATTTTCCTTTTTCTTATCCTATTTCTACCTTTATTTTTTACTTTTTATTTTCCCCCTGTTTTCTTCTCCTTATCCCTTTTTTTCCTTTTCTATTTATATTTTCTCTGAGAAGTTTTACTGTTCCTTTTCTCTCACATGTTCATTGTTTTAGTAAGAAATATTTAGAAACTGTACATTAGTAGTAATTTGACATTTTTCATTTATTTGTGTCATTTTGTTTCTTAATTGTGTCTTTTGGTTTAAGTATTAGCTATCTAATTTTTCAGGTGAAACAAATAGGATAATTGATCAAGCTTCAAAAATCAACCAAACTGGTGCTACTGGAGCATATACTTTCCAGTTTGAAAGTATGGAGAAAAAATTGGCTGATGTGTCTCAGTTACTTGAAAACACAACTGTCAGTTATCAGGACTTGGCTGCCCTGAGTGGACAGCTTGATGGGTTGAGGTAAGAGGATGATATTAATAATAATAATAATAATAATAATAGTAATAATAGTAATAATAATAATAATAGTAATAATAATAATAATAATAATAATAATAGTAATACTACTACTACTACTAATAATAATGATGATAATAATGCAATAATGATACTGATGATTATTAATAATAATAAATTTATTTATTTATAAAACTGGCAATTGCCTAAAAGAAAACTTTTAAATAAAATACATACATACACACAGTAGTAGACCAAGAACAAAAGTCCAAAGATCATATTAATCTCACAAGATACAATATTACACAAAACATTAAATACGCAATATGTAAGCTAAATCATTTAATACAGACTTCGACAGCGCTATAGTTTTGATACGTTTATGTTCAAATCATTCACTCATGTAATCACAAGTAATTACATCCTCCACAGGGCTCATAAAAAGATTCTGACCTTGCTAGCAGTGTCTGAAAAATAGCTTTGGCTCTATTTCGAAGACAAACAGCAGGGGCTCTTCAATGCAGCTCTTAAAAGAGAGAAATACTAAAATTGTTAATGGTTAAGTTGCATAAAAAGTATCTTTTGTAATAAACTCTGCAAGACCTTAACGGACTGATTTTTAGTTGAGAGACAATTTGGCTGTAGTCATGACATTCTAGGAGGTGGAAAATGCAGCTTCCATGCCACAAAATTTAAAAATTTGTGCTCTCCAGTTACATTTTTGAAAATATTATTCTCATGAATTTCAGAGCATATTGAAGATTCATACAATAACACCAGTCTGATGAATGTTGAGTAGTGTGACAAACGATTTGGGATTTGTGAAATGAGGAGTCACTCTTTTAATGTAGCCCAACTTTTGCCATCCATACCGCTTTACCAATATGAATTGTAGATTTCACTTTAGGGTAAAAAAAACATTAAAAACTGTTATAAAATACAAATGTTGATCATTAATTGTGTAATGCAGTCAAATATTACTCCTCTGACAAGGAATGTCATGACTTTATGTTTTGAAATATTGTCATTTAAATTACTTGTTTTGGACTGTTTTTCCATTACTCAATTTTCCAAATTACGTTTCAAAGCCACACTTTCATCAAATTATTTAATTTCCAAAAATAGTTTCGAATCGTCAAAATACAAAAATAATTATATATTCTTATATAAATACGAATTTCAGGTCATTAACAAATCAAGTAAATAATAAGGGACAAAGGTGTGAGCCCTGACGAATAATAAATAATTTAACCATCTGTAGCAAAAAATCTTTAATAAATTAATGCAGGATTCCTTGGATTTAGGACAATAAAATTACTAAAACTGCTTTTATATTAAATAAAGATTTGAATGAACTTTTTATTCTCCAACCTTTGAAATCTTCTTCAGGCTAACTTGTGTCAGTCTTATAAAACAAAGTTTTACAAGACACTTTCCAATTACATACATACAATTAAGTATCTAACTTGAACATAAAACGTGGATTAACTATTTTGTGAAAAAAATCTTAATGTTTATATGAAGGAAATGTCTCCTCACAGTGAATATACCAAGATCTCTAACATGTAATAGAAACATAGGAGTATTTCAGCTCTGAAGATATCTCATTGTGGCATAGACCACCCGTCATTTGATTTTAAAATCATGAAAATTTGCTTTTATGTTTAGGGACCAATTGAACAAATCAAACGAAAATGTTATTGAAGCTGATTCAATGGTGAAAAATTCCACCCAACGTGTGCTCCTAGCTAATGCTACCATAGAGCTTCTTCGAGAACGTACAAACATGTTGAAAGGAACTGCCAACGCACTCAAGGAGAATGCCACCCAATTGCAAGAGGCTAATGTGGAAGGTATTATCATATTTCTGTTTCAAACTTCACCTGCTGATATAGTTCTCAGAATAGTAATGTCAATCTAATTATTATACATTTCACTATGTGGCCACTGTTGAAAGTTGGACCTTACATGGGAATACATTTCCTATTCCCATGTAAGGTCCAACTTTCCTCATATTAGTTAATAATAAATTTGCACATTTTCTTTTATTTTGTGAGAAAGTGGAATAGCTGACATGTGCAAGTGGTTCGCAATTTGCATTGGGATGTCTATAAAAGCTTATGATTCAGAACCATGGAGCTGGCTAGTTGATTTAAGTATTTAATTATCATGGAAATTGTCTGCTGTGAAAAGTCTGTTTCATCACTTCACTGGTATTTAGTACTCTCCAAAATTTTCTTTTAGGAACACTCTTATTGCACTCTGTTGTATTTTTAAATGAAATTTAGAAATAATTGTAAAAAAATCAGTTTTTAATTTCTTTAACACTTAAAAAGTCTGTCTTTACTTTCCACTCATCAAAAAAATATAAAAAATACATTTTTATAAAATGGGATTAAGAAAGGGAATGAGGGACTGAAAATTGGTAGTTCTTTTGTTGTTGTTGTTTTTCCCTTGGTTCCAAACAAATTTCACACTGAACTGATTCAAAACGTTTTGGGCATTTTCCACATTCTTTTTCCGCTACAGCCTTTGTTTCCAAAATGATTCTGGTGGTTAAATACAAACTAGTGAGCGGATGATTTATTGGAAATTGTATATATCAACTTAAATTTGTTATTAATAGCAAGACATTTCTTACAGGTGCACTTAACCTTACAAGGAAATTTGAACAAGTCTCGTTGAAAGCCCAAGATACAGCGAATGGAAGTCTATCTATTTTGCAAGATGTTGATCGTAATATTCGGCGGGTAGAACATCTGGTTGCTTATTCAGGTGAGCAACAACAACAAGAACTGGAAGCTCGAGAGCAAGAATTGATTGCTTTAAGAGAACAGCTGGCACAACTGGAAGAAGAAATTCCAGAACTGAACCATAAGGTAATGAACTTAAAATCTGGATTTTCCTTTTATAAATGGTCATAGAACCACTCTTCATTCAATTTTACTAGGGACCTGTGAATTTTAATTTTGAGTATCTTGTGTTTCAACCTTGAGGTTTATAATGATGAGAGTTAAAACAATAAGAGTAATTATTAAATAAACATCGGGAAAGTTTTATTTTGCAGTGCAGGCTGTCACTCTGGGTGTAGTGTTGTTTCTTATCATTGAGCAAAGTGATTTCAGAACATCACATCTCTTTTATCATTATTATACTTTACAATACCTATTTATACCTTTGTTGTTCAGCTTTGAACAAAATGAGCAAATACTTCATCTAAGGCAGATTATCCTTCATATTAATAACTTTTGCACACTTTTTAAAAAAGTCAAAAAGAGCATGTATCAAGAAGTGTATTTGCTGTACTATTTGCACATGGTAGCATAGTAACTCAACTTCAGTTTTTGAGTACATAGAATACCAGAATTGTGTTATATTTAAAATCAAACTTGGCACAACATTGTAGATGATTTGAAGGTGAAAAAAAACTGCTTTATATTATATTATTTTCTCTATGGTATAGTTCACTTCACTTCACCTTAAATTACTTAATGTCATAAAGCACTATGGTATTGTGTAACATTTGCGTTTAGACTGAAGAAGAGTGGAAGGAAGAACTAATGACAATGATTGTTTATTACTCATTCCTCAACGCCCTCCCAGGCAGAAAGATGAACTGAAGTAGTCATATTTAATGTAGTATTGCTTCGTTAGCAAATGAAGTAGAACTGACTCCCCGCCTTGTGTCTAATCAAGGAACGTGCAAACTCTCAGTAGGTGTACATGTTCAGTGTGTTAGTGGCAAGAGATTGTATAGTCGAAGATTAAAAGTATGATAGTGCATAATCTACATTCAAACAGATTTGAAAGCAGCAAAATAAATATAAGAATATAATTATTAAATATAATATAATAAATAAATATATTTTTGTACTATCACCCAATAAAGCAGCCCTTTCCATATTGTTAATTGTTCATGTTGAGGTTTGTCAAACTAGTTAAAGATGCTGTCATTGCCAACAATATTTTTTAATGCAATAGCAGCTTTCGATGGCTTAGCCATCATAATCAGTTGTCTGCTAGATGGAAGCCACATAACGACTACCACTACGACGGTAGTCGTTTTGTGGCTTCCATCTAGCAGACAACTGATGATGATGGCTAAGCCATCGAAAGCTGCTATTGCATTAAAAAATATTGTTGGCAATGACAACATCTTTAATTATTTTAAAAATGCCAAAGATATCTTACCACAACACCTATATTGTCAAACTAGACTGATAAAAATGGACTAGTTTGTAAAAAATACAGAGATGTGATATGCAGTAATACTGTTTAATACTTTAAACAATTAACGATTCCTAGTGAACAATGAAAGGACAACAATGGTTAGGAGACTCAATATTTAAATGTGTAGAAAATTAGTAGTATACACATAAACAGAATGAAACATAATGAGCATCGATTAAGAAGTAAATGTACAAAAAATTTATGTACTTGGCCAAATTGTATGGCCATATTTGTTTACATATGTATAATTTCACTCATTCAGTTGTGATTGTAATATAGTTGCAAATCCACGTTGCAATATTGACTATGAGATTCCAGGTATAAGGGGGCATATTCTTTAAATTCAACCAAATAACTGATAGATAACTAGAGAAGAGTTTTAGATTCTAGGTCTGAAAACTATTTGGGAAGCAGAGGTTGGAATGTCTAGGATGTCTAGGAATGTCTAGGACCTGCTATGAAAGGGTGGTGAAAGTGAAACCTTTTCATTGGCCCAAATATCATTATCAAGTTAGAATAGGTCCACTCTGTTCACAGTGCTATAACATAAGAAAAGAGTAAGAATATTTTATTTCTGTGTCCTTGCTATAACTTAATTATGTATGTTTCTGCTGTGACTTACATTATTTCTGTCATTGATTAATTAGTAATTTTCTGAATGGTATATCTATCAATAATATACAGTGTATTCTGATTTGATTACAGAAAATTGAATTTGATGTGCTGTATAATTTTGTTCTTTGCATCTAGGTGTGTGGCCAACCAGGCAATCCATGTGACAGTGTGTGTGGAGGTGCTGGCTGTGGGCGTTGTGGAGGAATTGCGTGTCTTGAGGGTGCTGTGAGTAAAGCAAATGAAGCTCTTCAGTTTGCAAGGAAGGCTGAAGAAGAAATCCGTGTAAAGGAGCAGGATACAGAAGCTTTACTGAGAACAGTTAGTAACTTATCGAGTTCCTTAATAGTGTTAATTGCTCTGTTGACTTTCATGTTTACAGTGAATGAGCTCTTCATTGAACTGAGTGTGTCATGATTTTTTCAGTGTGTAAGAGGAATGAATGATCTGCTTTTACATGTCTTTAAGAACAAGTGTTTAAAATGATTTGATGTATGAAACTTCAGAAAAATACGTATTTTTCTCAGATTAGCCAGGCCAAACAAGTTGCAGTTGCTGCACGAGATGAGGCTAAAGATGCGTATGATGCTGCTTTCCTTGCTCATAATCAATCAGATACAGTACGTGCAGAGAGAGATAAATTTTTAGAAGATTATGATCAGTTTTTGAATGAAGCTCCTGCCTTACCGTCAGAGATTCGTGCTAAAGCTACAGAGGTAAGCATTTTACTTGAAAAATGAATCAGTTGATCATAAATATTGTCCTATTATGATTTCCTTAAAAGTCAAACCTTATTGGTGTTGTTCATTGCTTCCTTTTATTTTGCAATCTGTTTTGAATTAATGTAAGAATTGCTTTCTTGCGTACCTTGGTCACAAAATGGAATGGACTTCATGGTGTTCATTGGGTAAGATTTAACCATACCTGTTTTTAAAAAAAATTGTTATGTCTAGATTGACATGTGTCTTCAAGCCCCTTGGGGAAAGGTTGAGCACTTTGCTCTTGGAAGTAATTCTCCATAAGCCAGTGCACTTAGGAGTAATCCTCCATTAACATTATCTGTCATTATATGTCATGTCTCATCGCAGTTACTTATTAAGAGAACCACCAGATAGCATCTCCGCATACACACCACCTACCACACTCTCCTGTGTCACTACCCAGCAGCCAGAATTGGGAAGAGAGTAAATAAATCTGAGAATCTGAGTAAATAATGACTTATTTAAACGTTATGACAAAATATAGAAGGATCATATTATACCTCTGCAATCACCACACAGTCAGAGTCAATGGTGATAAAACGAAATATCTTCAGAATTCTATCAAGAATTTTACAGAAGCAGTCAAAGTTTTTTACTAGGCTGTCCGGGTGACGCCGCGTAACGACGCAGCGCACCCGGACAGCCTAGTAAATACTGACTCCGGCCGCGGAAGCCTACGCTCTCAGTCAAAGTTTGCATGGACTACAAACATGGCAACCAACTTCAGCAGATCTTTTGTGCAGGGAGTGGATGTATAGCCTCTTGGTAACATTTTTCTCATTCTCAAATGAGCAAAATTCTTTGTCAAATGCACCATTACATCTGCTAGTGGAGCCACACCACTCATATATGGCAATGTCAAAGAAATCCTTACTGCCAATTTATAGTATAATAGTTCTATTTTATTTATTTAAAGAATTCTAATGTCACTATTGATGATGGACCAGTTCAAATATCTGAGTCTCCTCTTGCGCTGTGTGGTGTGGAAATTGGTGTAGCATGTTGCGCAGAATTGAAAGTTCAAAACAAAGAGCTTAGCAGGTCCAGATGGCATTCCCTCTATACTACTGAAGAACTGTAAATTCATTTTCGCACAAATTCTTGAATTGTTATTTGGAAAGTCTTTGACCGATGGCACTTTTTCGAGCGAATGGAAGTTTTCATTCATACTACCCATTTTTAAGTCTGGTGACAGAAATGACATCAAGAATTAGAGACCGATTTCCATTCTGAGTGCTATCCCAAAACTTTTTGAATCCTTGATTTTGGATAAAATCAGAATTGTTATTTATCCACATCTTTCAGATAGACAATTTAATTTTATGCCAGGGAGAAATATAGGAGCTAATTTGTTCTATTACTCGTGTTACATACTTGAAGCTATGGAACATAAACTTCACTACTACAACTTGTGTGTGTGTGTGTGTATGTATATATATATATATATGTTTTAGCAAGGCATTCAACTCGGTAAATCACAAGATTTTGTTAGTTATAACTGTAATGATTGGGGGTCAGTGGACCCTTACTAGAGTGGTTTCAGTTACATGGCTTATCGAGTTCAGATGGTTTCATATAGGGGTATTGTTTCTGATCCTATAGAGGCATCTTCAGGTGTCCCTCAGGGGTCAGACTTAGGTCCTCTCTTGTTTAACATTAACGACATATGCGACAGTATATTGGACGTGGAGTATCTGCCTTTTGCTGATGACCTTAATTTTTTTTTAAAAATTCAATCTGATGAAGACAGAGTCCTTATGCAAACCACCCTAAATGCCTTTTATGCGTGGTGCGTGAAGAACAATCTTTTTCTCAATATCGCGAAATGTAAATCTATAACTTTTTCAAGATCTATATCTAATGAAACCTCTGATTTTATGATGAATCTCACTCCATGAGAAAGCATCTATACCATTAGGGATCTGTGTGTGATTTTTGATCCCAGGATGACTTTCTTGCAATAGTCAATTCAAACCAAGTCTTGGGATTCATGAAAAGATTCTGCCATGAAATACACTCACTAGTGGTCTTGAGATCACTCTATCTTAAAGTTCTGTCGATTGCAAAATCATGCAAAACCAAATAGTGTACGAAACACCTAACTTTAATTCTAGAACCCAAGATATTTTTGATATTAGATTTTACCATGAATCTTACACAGCAAATAATTTATAAAGCAATGTTGCAAATCAGTTAACAGTTTGAATATTGATCTATGTGAAATGGATAAATCTGCTTTTTTATTACTAGCGAGCAACAAAATCTTGAAATTTGAATGAGTAGGCATCATAGAGCTACTCTTATACCAGATATATGTTAGTATTGAATGTGTTTCTTTATAAATGTTTCTATTTTTATAATTACGTTGCTACAAGCAAATTTTTTATTGTATTCTTTTTGTAAATAATGGATTTAAATGTCTATAATATTATAAGTTAATTAATTAATAGATAAATAAATTCCTAAAGTTTATTTGATAAAATAAGTATGAACATACTGAGATCTCTATTTTTTGTTTCTTACCAAATTATTCCTCTTCAATTTTATTGTTTCTTTTATGTCATAATTGACAGAATCAATTGTTGGTGCAAGTATTATATGAATGTAGTGCCTCTTCTCTTTTCTCTTGTGTTTTTATTTAAGAAAGGGATACACAAAATCCTGCATGAGTTCTTATTGGTTATGCAAGTAGTAGAGAGTAACTATGGGTTTATCATTATTTATATAATATGACATCGATATAAATGTATGTTGATCTGAATTCAAGCAATGCAATGTAGTCATTGTTTTTACAGGCTTTGGAAAAGAATATCAAACTTGAACCTCAACAAATTACAGACCTTGCTCAACGTATCAATGAGACAATAGCTTCATTAACTGATATAGATACAATTTTAGAAGTAACAGCAAAAGATCTTGCAGATGCTAATGAACTTAAAGATCGAGCAGATGAAGCGAAGTAAGTTCTGAAATATTTTATAGATAAATCGTGACAAAATATTCTGTAATGTAGGGATTTAATAAATACAAAATATTTTCCCTGCTAGAGTTCTGACCAATGGGGAAGTACAGGTAAAATAATGGTAAACAGAGATAAAATTTTAACTATAATTAACATGATTTGAATGTTCATTTTTTTCATTTGGTGTTTAAAATTGAATATTAATGAAATAACATTAAATGTATATAATAAATCCATCAATATATAGTTTAACTGTTGATGATCTATTTTGCAGGCAGCAAGCAGAAGGTGTCTTAAGTATTGCAGAAGGTGTAGTAAGTGCTTTAGAAGAAGCTAGAGAAGCACAGGATAAAGCTGACGAAGCAATTCAAAAAGCTGATGATGACATTCGTGCTGCTCAATCTGATTTAGCCCAGGTCTGTTTGTAACAAATATATTAATATGATTTTAGTAGGTGAGAGAAATTTGTCATGTGATACATATGGCGTGCATAACGTCTATAAGATATTTAGAGGAATAGGGGTTCTTGAAATTCTTAATTCTCTTTGAGGGAAGGCTTGGAGTTGACATTATAATCTATAATGAATTATGGAAATTTACTTCATTATTTCATCAATACATTCCTATGTATTAACCATTTGCGACCAAAAACAGGCACTGCCCATCGTCTGCCTCCCCATGTCAAGAAGGGCAGCGCCCATCCTGTACTTTTTTGTTGTATTTCCACGTTTTCCCAATAGATGGCTATCATGTCTTTATTACAGAATGAGACCTGAAGCTTGTAGAAGTTCGTTGCTCAATACCAATTGTTTCCATTGATATTATGTTCTCTTTTAATGTTGTTGTAAACACGTGGGATCATGTTGACTTTGCTATCATGATTGCTGCAAGGTGTTCAGAATTAAGTATTTGTGAAATCAGAAGAGTTTGCTGAGGGGGTGATTGATGTTTTGAATGACAGTGATGAGGAATTATATAATGATCAAATGGGAGATATTGGTGACATGCACAGTAACATAAATAGTGAAAGTAGTCTAAATTGATCACACTGAAAATAAATATTAAAATTTCATTTTTGTATTTTTTTCAAATAAATTTACTTATTACAAACATACAGTGAAAGTACTTCCTTGAAAAATTCAAACAAACTATTTATTTAATCCAATATAGTAACTATTTTATATATTTATTATTTTCAGATTTTGAGGTATGGTAAGGGTACATATATTTGAAACATTCTCTGTACTAGTAATCCTTTCAAGGATTTCAATCCTAAACGATCACAATGACTATGTCCTTGTTTTTGAAGATCTAGTTCAACATTCATATTTTGCTCCAATTGCACAACTATTATCTACATTGATAAATACTGAAAGAAGATTTTAACGTGATTAGGGGCAGACCTGACTGTAAGAGAATGCTGGAGTTTCCATTAAGCAATGGTGCATGTCGACTTTTGAATTTTCTTTTGTAAATGTCTGATAAGCATTGAAAGATCATACTATCTCCAAGGGTTCAGAAAGGTTCTAATTATAAAAGTCTTAAAAAGATAAAACAGTAACTCCTTACCTAAACAAAGATATTGGGAAGAAACATCGCTGCACCCCCTCCCTGCTTTGGTATGTGACTGTTAAAACCATTAAATTGGCTTAATTTCAACTTTGCAGCAATTTAATTTTCATTAAATAGGTGTAGACTGTAATTATGATTGAACACAATGTGATTTTATGTTACTATGATTTAACGGTGTTATAAATTAATTAAGATTAAAATAATTAACTTATTGTAATGAATATATAATGCAGTTTCATTTACATGTTAAAAATTGTTAATCTTTAGTTAAGGAAACAGAGGTTTATATGCATGATATTTTCAATATTTTACAAGGACACGGTATTGATACAGATCCAATATTTAGTATTTTTTTGAAGTAAAATCTTATTGTGATATCATTGTTTACATCCTATTCTGCATTCATATTTACTGCTAAAGAATGCCAGATAATATTTTTATTATTATTTTTTATATATTTGTTTTCAAAACAGATTGGCAGTGAAACAGCTGAAGCCCAATCTAAAGCGCATGGAACAGTGGATGCTGTTAATGGTCTACAGGAGAGGCTGCGACCTTTGCAGTCATTATTTTGGCAAAATTCCAATGGTGCAGATCAAGTAGTTGAGGAAGCAAAAAAGCTAGAAGAAGAGGCAAATCGTACTCAAGAAGATGCTAAGGATTTGCTTGACAAATTCAAATTGGCTCAGGACAAACTTACTCAGAGGGCTAATAACAGTGAAGCAGCTCATAGCAGAGCGGAAAGACTTATTGATCGACTGAATCGGCTGCAAGTTGAGCTCACAGAAGTCATCACCAACTTGCAAAGTAAGCTTTAGAGCCAAGTCTTCAACTTGTAGATGTACTATGATGTTGTGTATCATTAGTTTATAGTGAATACAGTAATTGGCGTTTTGATGTCCTTAACTTCTTGGAACATCTGAATAAATTGCTTATCAGAGTGAAAAGATAAAGAAAACGTCTATCACCAACCATTCAGCAGAAAATAAGAAATGCATATTTGTTTTTAAAATATTCTGGTTGAATTAACAATAACATCCTAAATGAGGAAGAGTTTATTGATGATGATGATGATGGATGATGATGATTGTCTAGGAATGTGAATGGGAAGACACAAATGATCTAAAAGTAAAGATTATTTCTTCTTTATCAATCCATGCTAATATGTCAGAGAGGCCATACATTGGTCATTAGTACTGGCACTGTCCAAATGATTTTGTAGTTAATGCACAAGGACTTAAATTTAATTTTCTATAGAAAGTGTATATAGCCATGCTTTATATTTTTAAGTTATTAGGAAAAAATGCCTTATGTTAGATCTTTTTGAAAATAAACATATCTTTTAACTATATAAATATTTTTTTAATGAATACAAAAATATCTTGGTGTAAGTTATAAATATTTTTCTGAAAAAAATGTTTCAGAAGTATTTACCTGGAGTTTTATTTTAAAAGAGCAGTTTAAATGAGGAACAAAGATCTTAACTCTTTAGGGTTTAGAGATAGTTTTACATATAATAAATTTGTTTAGTTTACTCATTTCTTTACAGGATTATACTTTAATTTTACTAATTTTCTGAAATAATTTGTTTTTCATTTCTTTATTGCAGCTATGGAAAAGGAATATGTGAACAATGAAAACAAATTGAATAATCTATCAGATGAAATTGATAACCTGTTGCAACAGATGATTAAGTATTCTAATATAATTGATGATCGGGCAAGTTTCTATCGTGAATGTGTGCCTTAGATAAGAGCAAGAGATTACTATGTCTTGGTGATAACTAAGTGGAACATTCAAGTCTAAATGACAAAAAGTTTGATATTTCATGTGCCAAATGAAAGTTTATCAGACATTGCATTTGTTAATTAATAGTGATATTTAAAGTCCAAATGGATGAACTATTCCCTATGCATTACTAGAGAGTGAGTGCTGTAAGATGAATGCATTTTGAAGGTTTGTATGCTTATTTTCCGGTGTTTCCCATGTTTTGTACACTTGACTGTTATCCAGAGAAGTTAGTGTTTACTTCTACATTTAATTTCATGTAGAAGCACTTGGTATTAATGTGCTGTGTCAAGATAACAGTAGAAAGAATTACATAAACTTTTGAGACAAGAATATTGATATTTTAGGAGTGTTTTCAAAATAATTGTTCTGTAAGTGATACATGTATAAAAGGACACTTGCAGACCAAAAATTTCAATATGTAATGACAAGTCCTTTCAAGTATATTTAAGTCAATAGTCAGATGTTTTGGAGATGTTCTTGTGAAGAGGGGCAGCTCCTCATTGCCACAGGGCTGCAAACTTGGTCTTTCAGAATCTCTGGTATAATTTCTGTTAGATGTCTGTGGTATATGATAATTTAGAAATGTATATTTTATTCATTCTTGTATCTTGTCTTCAGTTAGATCTGATATTAATTTGTAATTAATTGAAGAATACTACCACCTCAAATTTTGCATTGTATTTGTACAAATATTGCATTTATTATTTTGAAAAAAGACATTTAAATGAAGTCAACTCAATGCAATAAAATTATTTATGTGTTCTCTGCAGGTATATGTATTTACAAGTGTGCAATTGTATTGATATTATGTAATTGTGGAAATTGAGATGTTAATATCTGCTCAGTCTCTTACTTTTTTATGTTAATTAATGAAACTATTTTTATCATAATTCTCTGTAATTTTGTAAAATATGAATGAATACACAATTTTTAGTAAATATTTTATTGCTTAATGTCAGTAGATGAGATTGAGATAAATGTTCACATTTCATTGTTGATAAAATGTATTTTACTATAAATGTTTCAGAATTTTTGTATCAAGGCATTTCATTGATAGTGTAATTGTTTGTAATTATGTCAAAACGTTTTGATTATACTTTCTGTCAATGGAATGACAATTTTGTTGAGATATGGACATAAAAGCATTATTTTTCCTAGATAATAAATTTAAAATTATGCATTTCAGATGATATTATTGCAGTATTCAGTATGTAGCCTACTCTGTAATACATTTCTACAGAATTTAGTAATATATATGTGTGTACATACATGTATATACAAGTACAATGAAAAAAACTGCTTTTTTATGTGCAAGTGTTTTGAAAACTACTTTACTCTTTATTTTTCATTTCCATTTCTACGAGAGAAAGTGTTGCTCTAACATATTTATACTGTTAGTTTTACTTTTATCTTATGATTTTTCTATTTTTAGAGAATTATGTGGAATCTGTTCTTTGATAATTCCATTATGTCAAAATATACATTCATTCATAGCATTTCCAATGTAAGAGTGATAGATTTGAATAAATTTCTGAAGTCTAGGAAAAGAATTATTAAATTAATTAATTTAAATTTAAAGAAGTATTAAACTAATTAAATTATTCATTAATTTAATGATAATATTTTAGCAAGCAATAATATTTTACAGACTGCTTTTTATTTGTGGTTACATTTTAAATTACCCTATTAAGAAAATTTTTCAAGAAACTATTTTGTCTCATAATTTTTACAATAGTATTATATTCTAATATCTAAGTATTGACTTAGACAGGCCATTATCTGTAACATGTCCATTATCTGATACAACCTATTAATTACATTACGTTGATATATTTGCAGAATGAGTATGCAAATGTAATTACTTAATAGGTCTAAAATTGACAGGTGTTACATATAGAATATGTAAAGGTAAGTAGAACACATAAAATGAAAAGATTGAGACTTATTAACTTCATATTTGAACTTAATTGGATCCTGTAATGAGCAAATGACAACTCTAACCAACAAGGATATATAAATACTTAATGCTACCACTTAAATAAAATTGTCTAGAAGAGAAAAAAGAAAGTTGTTTGCTTTAGGTTTCATTGTATAATATTGTCGTTCAAATAGTCCCTCACAAAGATGAGGGAAGTGAAAATAATACAAGACATCCATATTCAGACTTGTGTTTTTAGTCATAATTCAAGATGATTAAGTGCATTTCATTCTGCACCAGGCAACATGCCCAATTGTAGAATAAAGCTTATATCTATATTTAACCAAGCTTATAACTAAACTGCAGATTTTTGCTTATTTGCCTGTTGTTTTCCTTTAATAAAAAATGCAATCTATTACAATACTTATTTATTTTGGGGCATTAGGAGTATTATATGTCAAGTTTTTTTGGTGCCTATAAATGCTTATTTTGTGTTTAAATGCCCAAAAGTTAAAAAAATTATGTCTTTCATTTTTAATCTGCAGAGTAAAGAGAAATAAAACAACTATCGATAAATCTATGTTCCATTTTAATGCCATCACAGTATAGGTACTTCGTTTTTTGAAACACGTTCAAAATTAGTATTGGTAAAGTAATTCTTTCCTTCAAATTTTTAAACAGTTTTGTGCTGAAAAACAGGTCTAAATTTTTTCATAAAATTGTCTCCTTGTATGTTTTGAATGTCAGTATCAAAATTGGTGTCGGTCCCATTTGTGGCAAACACTGAATTTTCAAAATTGCAAAAGTACAATATTAAATACAGAGAATTTTTTTTAAATGAGTAGTTTTGAGGAATTTCTATTTAAATTAATACAAATATAAAAAGAATTCTCAAAATACGTTACACATTTTTGCTTTAATTTCCCCCCCACATAGAATAAAGGATGCTTAAAAGAATGACATGTCTCATTTTCATTAAACTCTGTGATTTGCAAATTTTGAAATATTTTTTAGATATAACCCAAGAAATTATATGCTGTTGTAACACTACTTAGTTAACACTACTAGTTACAACATTTGTAAGTAGTAACTAACATGACAATAAAACAAATCATTCAATATTTTTAATTTTGTTGAAATTAAATATGAAAAAAAATCATACTGTGAAGCAATAGAGTATCAGCTAGCATTTAATGAAAAGCAAAAAGATAGCTACTGCAATTCAGCCTTTTTGACTAAATTGTCCAACAATGAAAGGAAGGATTTCTACAAGGATTTGTCAGAACAATGATGAAAATTATCCATGAAGGTAACTGAATTATGCTTACTTCAGAAGCTTTCTAGACAAGTATATAAATAAGGATAAGAAAATTGTATAGTGCCTTTTAAAAATGTAAAACTGATATTTAAAATGCCTATTTTACGTTTTTAAATGCCTATTTTACATTCTTGAATGGCTATTTCCACAGTTTTTCATGCCTATAAATAAATCTGCAGCTTACTTGTAACATAAGTTCAGTGGGAACACGTTCCACAAAATGGGAAAACCCCAGGTTTGCAAAATCCACTTTTGATATTGTAGTAATTGTACAACTTTGTGTGTTCTCTGCCATTTTATAAGTTCCTCTTCATACTTCTGCTTCAAGAGCTTGAACACTGCTAGATCAGTAGATATCTAGTGTGAGGTGGTAATTTGAATATTATTGTATTGCACCCGCAATGGAAGACTAAGTCTGAAAAATGAATTTTGAGTAATTTGGTGGCTAAAGTGCATATTTATGAAGTCTGTGTCCTGGAAAAATGCCACAGCTCAACTCTTGAAGATGACGGTTCTTCTGCAAGTAATTCAGTTTTCCTCTCAGGCCATTCTGTACTATTCAAATAGAAGAAGATTGCCACATCTTAATTTTGGATGTATTCTTCTAATACACATTGCATACAGTCATACAAACAGTTAAGGAGACTGGAAATCTATAAACTCAAGTACATGACAACAGATGATTTCTTTGACTTGAATCATTTGGGTAGTCAAATGAGTAGAAACTTAGACAAGAGTGAACACGAAGAAAAATTTGTATGGACTGAAAAAGGTGATGCAAGCAAGGAAAGTTGCACCATTCATTCTAGAATATAAAACTACTAATGGTGAAGAGTTCCAGCAGATCAACACTAGAGAACAATGCAGAGGTCTTCCTCACACAGGATTCTTGAATTTGCAAATGGCTTATAAGAAACCCCAGGGCATAATTGAGGCCAAGAAGGACTTGATGTACTTATGTGATACTAACCATATTCCTACCCAGTTTTATCCTTACAGAAAAAACTAACAATTTTCAAACATTGTAACATGGAACTGGTCATATAGGTGACATAGGTAGTCAAAATCGTTAAATTCAAATTATTTTGTACTAATTTTGTTCCTATTATTAAGTCAGTTTATTGAAAGTTAAATAAAGATTTACAAACGTAGTCATTAAAATAATGGAAATAGTGAAAATTTGTGTTCATCATATCGGGAATAACTCTTTACCAATTCAACAAATATTGTGTAGAAAACTGCCATAACTCAAAACAATTATTTTGAAATTTAAAACAAATGTGTGTATAGTTAACCAAAGATATTTGTAATTTAAGGTAGCCTATATTATGAAAGACTATTAAACGAAGATTAACATACATTATTTTCACTTCCCTGAAACAACATTTATTATTTTTTTCTATTGTCTCAAAATCTTTACATGCTTCTGAAAAAACTGCTCAATTTGACTTGTGGCAGTCTTCCACTGAAGGTGCGATATTTTCTTCTATAGCTTTCTCTATAATATTAAGTGAGGAATGTGAAGAATGCCAATCGTAGCCCAGAACAAGGCTCCTCTTTTGAGATACTGTAGGGTGGAAGAAAATTTTCCCGAGCAGATCGTCTCACTTGGTTTTTGGCTTCTTCAGCGTTCGGTCGCTGTTTCTTATAGGGCTTGCGCTTCGGTCACGCTGTTCCAAGGCCCCGTTTCAGGAACTTTCAAAATATTCTTCTACTTTTCTATTGTGGCCGATGACATTTGATCATTGTTTCACCTCTTGCCTAATAAAATGAATATTTTTAATTAATTCGCGAACGTTCTCAATAGGGCTCGTGGCTTCAGAAATGCTCTTACCACTGTAAAAAAGTCATTTTTATAAACTGAATCGTTTTAAACAGTGAATCGTATACGAGGAGTAACAATAACCTAATGTTATCGGCCACTATAGAGAAGTCGAAGTTCATTAATAACGTTGGCCAGCAAGCCGCCACTACGTGCTCTATCGTCCGTGATTGCTAGCTCATAGCCCGCTGGCAACTCTCACTATACGAGTAACCAGTTGGTACACCCCATCGAAGTTCAGGCGAGTAATAGTAGTTATAGTAAGGGAAGGTGGGGCTAAGTGGAATTTGACTTTAAAACCTCAGATTTGGAGCTTTTCAGTTCTAGAACAAGTACTTTGTCGAGAAGTGTGTTGGTACAACTGTGCGAAATTGTCATCGGGCTTGGCATATTTGAAGAGCGAACTATTGCAGTTTTTTCGATTTTCCTCTCTGTCTTGCAAAAACGTCAGTAATGTAAAACATCGTATTTGCCATAACACTACAGAAATATAACAGTATTTGTTTTAATACCCTAGTTTTATAAGTTTATGATTCAGTGCTTCCGGATTCCTTAAACAAAAGCAAGGTTAATGTGATTGTTTTGAACCATTTTGTACTAGCAGCGTCACGCGGGGCAAAATGAAATAGCACCATTCCACTTAGTCCCGAAATTTTTTACTACATATTGGGTCATATGAATAAAAATGAGCACTTGCTCCGGAGCGAAGTGAGTCTACTCCGCAGCACTGAGCTCCATTTCGTAGAATAAAAAGACTCCGCAGAAGCTCCATTTCGTATGAATAAAAACTTCGTATGTCTCCGAAGAACTTACTCATGTATTCAATAAAATTAAAGCTCGACATTTTCCTTCAAATAAAATTGATTGTTCATAACTAGTTCTTTCATTAAGATCACGTACTTTTATGAAAATTTTTAAAGTTTTCGCGGAATATTGCAAGAAATATTTGCAGTTTTACAAAGCTACAAAAACAAGATTCTCTCCAAAACCGCTTCAGATTTTTTCTTTAACCTTTTGGTAGGGATAGTGGTAAATGTACACTATAATGTAACATAAGCGCCATATAGCTATATTCTTTTGTTTATTCAAAAAATACAAAAATGTAATTTTTTCCCTTCTCTCACGTTAATATTTGTATTAGCGGCAATTTGTCTACATTATTATATTTATGAGTACATGTGCTTTCAATAATTTCATATAAAGGTTCTCGAAAATCCAACTGTTTTCTGTGAAAACTAGCTCAAAATTCAGCATTTTCAGAAACGCCATTTTCTCAGAAACGAATTTGCTCCAATATTTCATAAAACGTTTCGAACAGATGGTGCTAATTTCTTTCTTTAATATGATATAGAGTTAATTTCGAAGCATTTTTTTGTTTTTCCAAAAATTACACAAATTAACATCTCTCACGCCGTTAACACTAATTCCCAGCAATTTGTAAACACTATTGTTGTGAGGTAATGTGCTTCAAATAACTTCTAATGAAGTTTTTCGAAAACTCAAAAATTACTTGTGAAAAAGCTTCACATTTTTCATTTATAGTTACGCTTAAGCGCCATTTTCTTAAAAACATCTCCATTTAAAAAAAAGGAAATTGCCATTTAGGACGAGGTTTTACTGTTCTTTACTATCCTTAAAATAATATTTCCGTTCTACTATTAGGACTCCGAAAACTTAAGAAAAAAAAGTGCTTTGGGCAGCAATAGATGTCAGCTGGCAAGAGTATGTAGCAAGCTTGTATAGCTAGCCGAGAGCAAAGGAACTAGACATCTAATACGGGAAAGTCTGTGCCATTCAGTAGCACCAGTAGTTCATTCTGTGATACAGATGTCAACAGACACAATTAAAATAAAAACGCATGACATCGGTTTGGAATAGAATAGAATATTTATTTCGCTACTTAGGAATTCATGGAATATTTCCGGTGGTAGCGTTTTCTAGATAGTTACTACAAATACACTACACAATCAAAGGAACATTACAATATTTACGAATTACTTAATACAATTTTACAAGATTAGTATATTAAACCTATCATGCCTAAAGCTGACATAAAATAACAATAATAATTCAAAAAATAATGTAAACATATTCTAAAAAAATTACAATTTATTTAATCTAAATTAAACATTTTTGACATTCTGAGGCACAGTCTCCAGCAGTATTGCAGGCAATTTGTTCTAATTTTGTATTGATCTGTTTACAAATGAGAATTTACCTACATTTGTTGTGTTTTCTTTGCCGAATTTTAGAACCATGATCGTTCCGCGCGACGTATCAGGGTTTTAATATTCTTGCCTGCACTTCCCCCCACGGACGATCACCTTGTACTGGTTTGAATAACGCACAAAGACCCGATTTCTCTCTTCCCAAGATATAAATTCAGAATTAGAACGCCCTCTCCTAACAGATTTTGCGCCATATTTTTGTGCTTTTTCGAGAGATTTAATTTGTCCTAAACGATATGGATCCCAACATATGGAGCCATATTCCAACATCAG